GGACACAATAGTAACTTTTAAAAGTTTTTCTTTAAAAGCTAGGATCACATCAAAACAAGAGAGCCCCCGATAAAACAATAAAAACAGGCCATCTAAAATCCCTAGTCTTCATGCACGTCGCAGGCGGGCAGATTAAGCACATGTGCATACACACATACAAACCAGCAAAGAGAGGGGGGTTAGCCCCTGCCCTTCCTGGGGTGCTCCCGAGATGGTGAAACAAATCACCAACACTAACCCGCTAAGTGCAACACTAAAAAAAAGAAAACAAACAGGTCTCTCCCTAAAGAGGGAGAGCCTCTGAGCCTGCTTGGAGGGGTCATCTCTAGATCCACGTCTTTTATCCTCCTCTCCTTGGGCTGGATCAGGCTCGAAGCTTCTGAGAGCCCATCCAGCAGTGGATGCTCCGGTGGGGGCGGGGCCCCCAGAAGCACCCGCCAGTCATCCACAAGTCATCTGTTGCTTAAAACCTTTTAAAAAATAAAACACCATTAAAATACCACCACCAGGGAATTGTTCATTCCTTCACGGTCTGCTGTTGTTTAAAAATCCCGGACGAGCCCCCATTTATGTTACGTCCCCGACATGAGATGGTAAAATGTGAAGGATGGGGACAACATAAAAACTGGACAGTGGATATTAAAAGGGTTTTATTGTTATAAAAAGGTTCTAAAATCGAGCAAAACAGATGACGAGCATTACAAAGATAATGCAACACACAAACTCAAAAAGGTTAACGTTAAAAGACGAATGATCAACTATTAAAACACCTGGTTAAAACTTAAGTTTAACCAAACAAAGGTGTTTAAAAATGAAGTCAATCATATTTCTACAAAGAAGTAAACCTTTAAAACAAACTAACACAAGATCCCAAAGGATCACTCAAGAGTTTAGACTTTAAAAGTTAAACTCATCAAAACGAAGGCATGAACGAACAAACGAAGGGGTTAAAACAAAACGAATCATGGAGAACAGCAGAACCCCTGCACTGCTGTCTCCCAGACTTCTTCTTCTGTTGTTTAATGGCAGGTGGCAACCAACTTTCAGGTGCATTTCCGCCACCTACTGAATGGGAGTGTGAATCGAAGTGGGGGAGTATCCTACTTTAAAAAAAAAAACTAAATTCTATCAAGTCCCTTAAAAAGTCTATGACTAACCTATACACCACTAGTCCCCCATTTAACAGAATACCCAACTCAAATTCCTTATATCCCTTAACTTTTAATTTTTCAACCAAAAATTTCCTATTACCCACATATTTGTCTCCCAGACTGCTGAAGGCACAGCTATTTTATCCCAGGTGTTGGTCATCAGATGGATTCAGCTTAGCTGTGCTCCTCAGCAGCCTGGAAGGGAGGAGGAGGAGGGGCGGTGTCCGGTCAATCACCAGAGCTGGGTGATCCTGGCTGCTTTTTCCCTCTTCAGACTGGCAGCCGTGACATGCTGAGATCATCCTTCCAATAGCAGCTAGCTTAAGGGCTAAGACTAGACGAAATAGAACATCGATTGCTACACCTTTAATATCAGATGCTACTAAATTATTTGTATTCTTACTCAAGTAATTTGTTTGAATGGCCACTTTTTTTACAATTATTTTGTTAAAAAGATTATTGAAGTAGTACTACTGTTACTTGAGAAAAATGTGTTACTCTATCTCCTCTGATGTCTTGGAACATGTACCACACATAAACACAGATAATAGTTACATAATCCATCTATTAGATAGATAGATAGATAGATAGATAGATAGATAGATAGATAGATAGATAGATAGATAGATAGATAGATAGATAGATAGATAGATAGATAGATAGATAGATAGATAGATAGATAGATAGATAGATAGATAGATAGATAGATAGATAGATAGATAGATAGATAGATAGATAGATAGATAGATAGATAGATAGATAGATAGATAGCAGTGGCGGCTGGTGAAAAATATTTTTGGTGGGGCTGTGCTATTTTTTTTAAACAAACTTGTGCTTTCTGAGCTTTGTGCACAACTTCACTATTTCCTGAATTAAGCACAGCTCTTTTATTTCCTGTCTTACATCATTGGACAAACTGATTAATCCAGGTGTGTCTGACTATTGGCACGCTGCCTTGCGGACCAAGGTAGAAAAATACTGCATTAAATTGCACACAAAATAACATGACCATAAATGGTAAATAGGCAATGCAAGAGGCAAGTAACAAAAACATTTTGTTTAATTTCAACATTTGAGTGAACATGAAAAATTATGAGCAGGTCACTGTTACAGTAATGGTAGTAAACACTACTTAGACAAAATGCCAGAAATTTACACTGTTAAATATTTCTGGAGTGTTGTGCCAAGGTCAACTTTATACAAAGATCAAGTGGATGCATTTGTGTGTGTGTGTGTGTTACCTCATTTGTACAGAAATGTTGCCCTTCTGTCCTTCTGAGTGGCAAAGCTCTCGATGACATTTTTATTGAAGTCAGGAATGTTTGTGACAAGCTTTTTTTCCATGGAGAGCATGGCAAGAGCATTCAGCCCATCCTGTGTCATGGTGTTCCTCAGGAAAGTCTTAGTCCTCTTTAAAGTAGATAAATAAATAAACAACAGATAAGTACATAGGAAACACTTTCATAGGAAATAATGTCATCAGTATCCTCTTACAAATGTCATATTTCCCAGTTTTTGGGACAATAAAACATTTCTGATTCTCAATCAGATGTTTTTACATTTGAGGTAAAAACATCTAATTGAGAATCAGAAATGTTTTATTGTCCCAAAAGCTGGGAAATTTGTTTGCTGCAGCAGAAATGTAACAAGTAAAATGGAATCAGATTGATGTATGTACAAATTTACTTGAAATACACATTTACATGATTAAATATGTATAATAGGTATGTGTGTTGAAATTAGTTTTTACAGTTATTGCACATTAAACAATGTACATGTTATTAAACAAATGTCCCGGTTTGTGGGACAACCAAGGATTTCTGATTCTGATTGTCTTGTTTACAGAAATGTAATGTACAGCTTACCTCTGCACCCAGCTGCTGTTCTCCCTGTCCAAACGTCCTCCGTTTCTTTGTTGGCTGCTGCACTGATGCGCTGCATTCCTCAGTCAGAGAATGAATGGAGTCCCCAATGAGACACAAGTTCCACATCCACCTTCTGTGGATCCCAGCCGTTTTGAATAACAAACACAGAAAGCAAAATAACGCATTAGCGTGATTGCATCCAGCTAGCCACTGCTTCCTGGTGTACCAATTTTGGGAGAAGCGTCGTGTGTACAGTTTACCTTTCTCCTTGTCCTGCTGGCTTATCTTTACGTCGGGCTGATCTGGTCCAAGCTCTTTGACATTAAGTTTTTCCACCATAGTTCTCCTCTCGAACGGATACTGGAGAAGAGACCGAACTGAATTCAGTGGCTGCTGAGATCCGGTATCCTGGTTGTAGGCGCACTGGCGTCCATGTCTACGTCTGCGTCATGACCGTCACGAGTCACGACCAAAAACGTGCTGGAGTCGAGACTCTCCGAGTTCTACCGAACACCAACGAAAGCCTTGGCGGTAGCTCTATCACCCATCATGCTTCTGAAACGTTCTGAAACAACGTCGACGCTGATTGGATACATTCCCATTCCTACCCTTTGATTTTCTTGTCAGCAATTGGACAACTGGTCCCGTCCTGTTTGGGCGATTGAAAAACAGCACACAGCCTCCACTGCTCGGCAGAGACCGGCAGAGATCGGCAGAGACCGGCAGAGACCAATATATATATCTATATCTATATCTATATCTATCTATCTATCTATCTATCTATCTATCTATCTATCTATCTATCTATCTATCTATCTATCTATCTATCTATATATATATATATATATATATATATATATATATATATATATATATATATATATATGTATATATATATATGATTTATTTTTGTTACAAAACATACAATTAACTTAGAATATGTGATTATTGTTAATTTTATTTATTTTTTTTTTTAAATAAAAATTTAAAACACAGGGGAAACTGGGAGGGCGGCGCCCTATCGCCCTCTACTGGCCAGCCGCCATAGATAGATAGATAGATAGATAGATAGATAGATAGATAGATAGATAGATAGATAGATAGATAGATAGATAGATAGATAGATAGATAGATAGATAGATAGATAGATAGATAGATAGATAGATAGATAGATAGATAGATAGATAGATAGATAGATAGATAGATCTGTTCCTCTGATGAGGTCTCTGCACTCGGTCCCATACACTCAGTCTTTAGGGCTGAATGGAGTAATCGTTCCACTGAAAAAGTACTGGCACAGTTCCTTTTTTTAAAGTCCTTCTCCCCCCGGCGATTTCAGGCTGAAGGATCTGATCTTCAGTGAAATGTAAACTGCAGACCTTGCTGTGTGGTGTGTTACAGTGAATCTGTCGCGGCGAATACTCACTAACCACCGTCTTCTACTCAGCATGGATTGGGAAGGCGTGAAAACTTAGAAGTCCGTCATATTTCGAAGACGCGGTACACCGCCTGTGCACGACACGTGCACGAACGCAAAATTTAACACGCACGTTTTTCGCATTTCGCTTAGTAGGAGGGAGACCCGCGATTATCGCTTTGTCGCGCATGTCTCATTGAAAATGAATGGAGGAGAGACGATGTCGCCTCCCGTGTGTCGAAGCCATTTTAAAAAAAAAAAAAAAAATACCGTCCCTGGGTGGGCTCGAACCACCAACCTTTCGGTTAACAGCCGAACGCGCTAACCGATTGCGCCACAGAGACCTGGTGACTCCAGCCAATATTTAATGTTATAACTGTAAGTATTACCCAAATCATGTGCGTTTGTAAATGTATGTTCTTTGTGAAGAGTAAAAGTACAAAATGTAAACACGTTTGTTCTTTCCAACATAAAGAGGGAAATGGGGCAAAACAACCAATAGAAGTGGTATGCCTTGCAGAATACGTCATCAGGTTTATTAACAGACAATGGACTGAACCGTCACAGTTGTTTTTACAACAGGCAATTTGTTTATTTATTTACAGTGGGGTGCCAAAGTTTGGGCAGCCTTGTTACTCTTCATGATTCTCCTGTATAAACCATTGGTTGTTACAAAAAATGTTCAGTTAAATACATCATATAGGAGACACACAGTGATATTTGAGAAGTGAAACAAAGTTTTGGATTTACAGAAAGTGTGAAACAATTGTTTAAACAAAATTATGCAGGTACATAAATTTGGGAATGGGAACACAGGTGAATCCTGTTGTGAGAAATAGTACTTAAGGGGAGCAATTGTAAGTTTCCCTCTTCTTTGAATATTGTCTAAAGAGTAGTAACATGGGGGTCTGTAAACAACTCTCACATGACCTGAAAACAAAGATGTTTCACCATCATGGAGTAGCGTAGACAAGGTCATGTATCTGTCCACACCTACTAGACACCTGCTTCATCAGTCACCAGCGGGTGTCATGGGTGGCCCACCGATGAAGCAGGTGTCAGGTAGGTGTCTTTGTTCTGACCTGAGAAGATATCTTTCCGTCTCCACATCCAAAGTCATTCCACCCACTCTAAAGTGTCATCACTAATGTCACATTTTCACTTTGTAACTTCAACCTGTCAGCAGCCTTGATGTAATTTGTATCAGATGCTAGCTCCACCAGTGTTCCAATAGTTTTATGTTTATGTATTTAGCAGATGCTTTTGTCCAAAGCAACATACAAGTGATAATCGGCATGTTGCCCTAGAGGCTAACAACAACAACAACAACTTGACATCAGTCATGGAGAGGAAGGAACAAGGAGTGGACAGTAGAGAGGGGGGACGGGTGCACTAACAGACACTCAAGGCCCTTCGGTGCAGATTCAAGTCTGTTTGAAAGTGCTTGCAGTTGCTTTTTAAGCGTTGCTTCAGGTGAGAGGATAGTCCACCTAGATCACCTGATGAAGGTGACATCGCCCTGCTCCAGCTGTCCTCTATGATGATCACCTACATCTGATCTGCTTGGCTACAGAGGAAAGTTTCTTCTTTGGCGGGTTGAGCTGTTGGGTGAGTGGCTGGGGGAACGCTCTGCCCTATACTGATTCTATTAGCATTAGTCACTGTCCCAGCTACTACAGCCTCTTCCATTCTCTGAAATTAAATAAGTAAAACATGAGCAGAAAGTCTTCTGGTCTGAAACTAAAAAACAGAAAGGGATGTTAATCACCAAAAAAAACCTAATTTTATTTTATCTTTAAAACAAATAAAATTAATTTAGTAAAACATGACTTTTGTTTTATTTTGTTATGTTTTAATTTTGCAAAATAATTTTTATTTTCCATGTTTAACCCTCCCAGACTCTGGAGGAGGGGAACGTTCCCGTGGTGCACAACACTGAGCGCAATGCTGCTTACGGTTTAATCACAACCAAAATGATGTGTGCTGGTCCTGATATAGAGGAAAAGGCTTCTGTCAGGCGAGTCTGTTTCTGTTATGGTTGACTGAATGAGCTGTCTGATGTTCACATCAACGGTGGCCCGTTTGGTGACTTTAAATGGCACCAGGTGACTCCAGGCTGTGGGGATCAGAAGTTTACGCTCAGTTGCCACAGTACCGGTGCTGGACATCGGCATATACATATATGGACAATGGGTTTCCATAGCCTCCAATAACACGTTTTTGAGGGGAAATGGGAGGTGGCCACCACCGCCATTTTGACTGTGTCACAGGTTCCGTCAAGCCCAGACAATTCCACAAAAGGGAAGAGAGGTGGAGCTGAGGGTGGGGCTGTAAGGCTGGGATCAACTGACGACACCCGGTCGAACTAGCTACAAACTAACCTGAAGCTAACCCAAAGCTAACGCGGAGGTGGGAGCTAAGCTAACGGAGGTAGCAACCTAGCCACAACAGGAGTTAACTGTGCACAACACCAGAGCTTCTGAGTCAGATATACGCCGGGCTGACCGCTGGGTAAAACCAGGTGGAACACAGAGGTCTCCCGAGAGCTCCACAAGCCAGCAGCCCGCACAGCAGACAGAAGCCGCGATCAGACAGAGATGCGCCGAGCTGCGAGGAGGGGAGAACCGGGTGGAAAACAGAGGTCTCCCGAGAGCTCCACAAGCCGATAGTCGGAACCCAGCTCCACCAACATGTTATATTTCAACCCATTTTCTAAAGTGCAGCATTATGTTAAATGCACTGGGTTTTACCCTATTACATTTAAATTTCATGGTTAAACAGTACATGTTACACTGTGAGAACTTTCTGTCTTTCTTTGTGGACAAAGTCAATAAGGTTAGATCTAGCATCTCTCCTTCAGCCTTATTGCTGCCTCTCCCGACTCCAACCAGGCCCGTCATCCTAGATAGCTTTGCTCCTGTTTCTTTGCCTGAGTTAACCAAACTAGTTAACTCTATGAAGACCTCTGCATGCCCCCTCGACATCTTACCCTCATCTTTGTTTAAAAGTGCTTTTCAGTCCATCGGTCCCAGTGTGCTCTCTATAATTAATGCTTCTCTGGTTTCTGGTCAGGTCCCTGCTTACTTTAAGAACGCTGTAATCCACCCGCTTCTTAAAAAACCGAGTCTCGACCCCTCTCTCCATAGCAGCTTCAGACCCATCTCTAAACTTCCGTCATCTCCAAGATCTTGGAAAAGGTTGTGGCTAAACAACTCACAGCTGCTCTTGATGAATATAACATCTATGATAGCTTCCAGTCGGGTTTTCATAGAGCTTATTCTACTGAAACAGCTCTTCTTAGGGTCTCTAATGACCTTCTGACTCACAGTGATGCAGGGGACTGTTCTGTTCTGGTCCTGCTGGACCTGACTGCAGCCTTTGACACTGTTGACCATCACCTGCTACTGGAGAGGCTGAGAGACTGGGTAGGCCTATCAGGATCTGCTCTGGAGTGGTTCTCCTCTTATCTCTCTGAGCGCTCCTTTTCTGTCGCCATCTCCAAGTTTAGGTCCTCCACCACCTCCCTTACCCATGGTGTCCCACAAGGTTCTGTGCTGGGGCCTCTAGTCTTCCTCCCTCTATCTGCTTCCTCTTCAGCACATCCTGAGCTCCTTCAAAGGAATCTCCTACCATCTTTATGCAGATGGCATCCAACTGTACATCTCCTTTAAGCCCCATGAGATGTCTAAGCTGCAGCTGTTACACACCTGCTTAGACTCTATCAAAACCTGGATGGCTGGGAGCTTTCTTCAGCTGAATGAAGATAAGACTGAGATCCTCATCTGTGCCCCAGACAAGCTGGTTCCCAAAGTCAGAGACTCTCTTGGTCAGCTTGCTTCCCACACCAAACCTTCTGTCAGGAATCTTGGCGTGACCTTTGACCCAGCTCTTGTTGCGAGTCCCCACATGCCAAAGACAGTGGCAAGTACGGGGTCAAAAGGTGAGCCACACTGGACTGGCTTGTGCGAGCAAAATCAGCCAGCCGACAGGAGCTGGGCTGCAGGTCAAAAAACTGTGGTCAGAAACAAGGGTCACACAAGGGTCACAGGGACAAGAGGACAGAACTGGGCAAAAGGTCAGGTTGGCTGGCCCCACTCCTGGATCCACCCCTGGCTTGGAAAGATGGGATTGGAGGAGAACAGAGTGAAGACAAGCCCATCAGATCCAGAAGCCCTCTCGGGAACATTGGAGAGAAACTGAAGAATACTGCAAAAGATGATGTAATGACCTGTGTTAAGAAGAATGCTGCATGTAGTGAAAATGACACCAAATCAGACTAAATAAATGTATTATTTAGTCTGGCTTGCCAGGCTAGTTTCTGCCTATATTCTCCACACATTTGGTACAGAGTCCTTTAAAAACATCTTCCTATTAAATTCATGTAGGGAAATAAGATTGAACATTAATCCACCAAATACACACAAACAAAATCTGGTTTAAATGACATTAATGTCAGCTGGCTGTGCCCCTGGAGGAAAACTACAGTTTTCCTTCCCGTTAGTCTGAGACGGGACAGAACCCTGGAGGTTTGTCAGAACTCCGAGCTCATCCCAGGAATGTGGAGATGAAGACGCTGGTGTCCAGGTTCAGGGTGGCGTGCCACCAGCGGTCAGGAAAATACAGAACCTGTAAAAATAACATGTAATAAAAATTCCCTGCTAAATCATCTTAAATGGCTGTTAATATATTAGAAAACAAACAAGAATGAATTTCCTAATGAGTTTAAGGTGCTGATAAAACAGATTTTCCTTCAGAGGCTGGATAAGAAAACAGCAGATATTGTGAAGTGAACAAATCCTGACACATGTTCTGATTCTTCTAAGAACACCAAACGCCCCAAAACAGCATTTAGACCTGAATTTAATCTCTGGACTGTTAAGATTAAAGATTGTTTTATTGGCATTGCACAGGTGTACAACGACATTGGCTTTGCGCTCACTAAGACAGCTCACATAAGGAGGAACTAAAATATATAACAAAATAAAATAACTAGGCTAAAAATGCTGTCACGCATGCACAGACTGTCACAGTCGGTCAGTTTAAGGTGCAAAAATGTAAAAGTATAAATGTAAAGAATGGTAAGACAAGTCTACAATATAAACTGAAATAAAAGTAAACATAATATAAATGTAAACAGTCACATGTTAAGGTGTTGGGATGAATTAGCTAAATGCAAAGGTGTTGTGGTGCACTAAGTGTCCAACAGAATCAGTGTGACCTAGCAGCAACATTCAGTTCAGTGATGACAAAGACTCTCCAGCTGTCTCACCTCTCCGGGTCGGATCGTGCACTCCAGCGGAGCCTCGTCCTCCGGCAGGTTGGGATACGTGCCTGTCACCCACGACAGGGTGGTCCGGTTTGGATGGAAGTGAGGCTCTTTCTCAGGCGGGTAAAGGAACCAGCGCTGTAGACAGACCATGCATCGTCAGATTATGCAATTAATGGAGCTGGAAGGAAATCTGGGAGGAAATCTCGTCTCAGAGACAACTGTAGGTAAAAATAAATACTCTACACAAGAACCTTCTTTCTCTCATTCAGACCCTAATATTTGTTATGATTTTTTTTAAGAAAAAAATAACACATGGAGATTGTTGTTATGACTGAAGCTGAAAGTCTTTACAAATGCTTAGTGTGCTGAGTAGGCCTAATGAAGCAGGAGTGGGGAACCCTGGTCCTCGAGGGCCGGTATCCTGCACGCCTTTGCTCCAACACTTCTGATTCAGTGGTTGACCCACCTGTTCAGCAGCTCATCAGGCTCTACAGAAGCCCGTTAATCACCTGCTGATTGAAATCAGGTGTGATGATTCAGGGTTGAAACTAAAATATGCTGGATAGCGGCCCTCGATGGACCAGGGTTCCCCACCCCTGTAATAAAGATTCTCACTGCTAATGAACTCCATGTCATTTTTCAGTCAAAAGAGGGTGACTTTAAACACTTATCCCTTAAGCCTCCTTCAGACTGTGGTCGGTTGCTATGGCAACACCAACTACCTTCTTGGTTCGATGCTGAAGTTCATGTGAAGCTCCTGAAGTGTTTCTGCATCTCTGAGCTGACAGTTTCATTCTCATCTTCCTTTCATTGTTTACGACCAGAAGAAAACAAGCAAACGAAGAAAGGCTCGTTTGGATTTTACCTTCCTCCCGTAGATGACCTCTGAGTATCCCGGACCATGCCAGTGAAAAGGGACCCCCGTTCCAGGACCTGAGGCACAGCACGAGCGTCAAGCAGATATCGTCTAGTCTATGATAATCAGTAAACAATGATGAAGTTGTCGTCGTCTTCCTCCGCTTATCCGGGTCCAGGTCGCGGGGGCAGCATCCCAACTAGGGAGCTCCAAACCGTCCTCTCCCCGGCCACCTCCACCAGCTCCTCCGGCAGGACCCCAAGGCGTTCCCGGACCAGATTGGAGATGTAACCTCTCCAACGTGTCCTGGGTCGACCCGGGGGCCTCCTGCCGGCAGGACATGCCCGGAACACCTCCCCAGGGAGGCGTCCAGGAGGCATCCTGACCAGATGCCCAAACCACCTCAACTGACTCCTTTCAATCCGGAGGAGCAGCGGTTCTACTCCGAGTCCCTCCCGAATGTCCGAGCTCCTCACTCTCTCTCTGAGGCTGAGCCCGGCCACCCAGTGATGAAGTGACGATCAAACCCTGAAAACTAAACACCCGTTAACTGCTAAAAGAGAAGGGTGTTTGTCACCAAGGGCAAAAATCTGAGCTGTTAGAAAACAAAATTATAAGTTTGTCAGATTTTTTTTTTCTTAAGATGTAATAGGGCTGGGCAACAAGTCGAAAATTTATCGTTATCGAAATTTCATTCCTGACTCTTAGAGATAATTTTTCCCATGTCAATAAATTTGATAAAAAAAATTAAAAGATGTGTGAAGGTTAGCGACCCTTCAGCTGTACCACCTTGAGTCACATAAGACTCAACATAATACATGTGATGGCTCCATCTAGTGGACAACTTTGGTTTCTGCGTATACCTGTAGCTATGGACCATTTATCGTTATCAGGGTCAAATCCTCAATATATCATTGATTTAAGTCCATATCGCCCAGCCCTAAGACGTAATCAGATGGGATGTTGGAAACAGAATCTTCTTCTCTCAGTGATCCAGGATTATTTCACAGACTTTTGTTTCCTCTGAGTGATTGTGAACCTCAGCTGGACGTTAGTAACAATCGAACCTTCCAGCTGCGTTTCTGACTGACCTGCAATCCCAAAGCTGTACGCTCCGCTGGTGCGCGGCAGGACGTACGGCGGAGATTCATAATGATCAAACAAATTCTGCCACTCTGTCAGGTTGTTGTCTCCAAAAAAATACAGAGTTTCTGCAGAACAACATCAACGTCACATTTTGAGAACAGAACCACTTTCACGTTAATCAAAGTTGCACACGAGCAGAACAGAACTGGGCCGGGTTGAACTCACCACTGCCAAGAGCATCTGCAGCCTGAGGCCTCAGCAATTCGTCCACATAGTGCTGGAAGGAAACATCCACTAAGACAGAAATGGAACCAGCTTAGAGAAACACCTGAGAAGCCTGAAGCTCAGAGCGGGAGAAGCGGGAGCATACCTTTCCTATATGAGTGGGTGTTGGCGGTGCTGAGCCTCACCTTCATGGACCCGTACGCTGCCAGCAAGCTTGGCTTGGAGCACAAAAACCTGAACTTCTAAAAACAAAGTCACAAAGTTCATCATTTTGTGTTTTGAATATTTAAAATCAGATTTCAGGTCTTTTAGAAACGGGAGCTTTTATTTTCTATTAATTTATGATCATTTATTCTGACACAAAAACAGCAAACAAAGCCTGCAGCAACTGTTTGGGATGATAACACTTGTTTGATGTTCCCACACGATAATAGGAAGAGGTGGAATTGATCCTTTGCACGTGACGTCACGCCACTCATGTGACCGCCCCCTTCGCCATGATGGACGGCAAAAAGACCGTTTACACCCGTAGAAACTCCAGTGAAGGTCATCAAAACAAGCCAGTTTGTAGCCTTTTATGGCTTTTATTGAGCTGATTTGACAGTAAAATGGTTTTAGCTTGCTGCGTGGTCGGCTGCACTAACAGACAAGGACGTAAACTCAACTCGTTTTTTATTTTTAATAACTTTGATGGAGACTGAGGACGGAGATGAACTGCAGCATCAATCAAGCGGACTAGCAGCCCTCAGATTAGCAGCGAACATGTTTTTACTGAGTAAGATTAACGTTCATTTATTTCACGAGGAAGACGGGGACAGGGGTACATGTGATGTGTTTATACAAGTTATTGATAATCCTGATGGATGGTATTTCACCACGGAGGCTGCGCTCTGTCCACTGTAGTGTAAAGCGAGACAATTATTAACAATATTAAAGCTCCGATGTATGATCACGTGTGTTAAAATGACGTTATTGATTTATATGAGCGTCGGCGTTCAGAGAGTTTCTCATTCCGGTGTGAGAGCAGCAGCGGGACCCGGTAACACCACCAGCAACAGAAGCTGGTAGGGATCCGGACTATTTAACAATCAGCTTTGGTGTGAAGTGAAACGCTGTTTACAACATAAAGTTATAAATCCAGAGGGGTGAATTTAGGCAACATGTTTACATCGGTGAACAGCTGCAGAGAGAAGTAAGCTAACGTTGGGCCCCCGCTAGATGCGCTACTTCTTCTGATAACTGAACTGGGCATGAACTAGTGGAAGGAATACTGGAGGAGTTTTGTTCTTGTTTTGATCGCAAAAACAATTTCAGGCTCTACTTTTCCCTTTGTTTAGTAATCGTGTCGCTCACTGTTTACATGCTTTTGCCATCCAGCATGGTGGACCCATGTGATTAGGTGACGTCGGTGCAAAGGGTCAATATGTGAAGCGCACAGACTAGATCTGAAAACAGTATAGAAATACTCTCATTTAATAGGAGTTGGCCAAGATCTAATAAAAGATTCAAAATGAAATTTCCACATAAATATTCAACACTATGCACAAAAAAATTCTAAATCATTCAAATAACTACAAGCTGAATAAAAAACTGTTTTAAAAAATGAACTAAAAGTTACTACAAATATATTTTAACTTGGTTTAAAGAAATATAAGACATCAATAAGAACATAAAAGCAAACCTCTTCCCTCTCAAACTGAGATTAAACAACCTACAAAATAATGGATGGAAATGTTTCAATTGTCCCAGATGATAGACGTTCACAAATGGGTGTTTGAAAACATACGGTGTTGTCGGTGAGACCTCGGAGGATGACCGGTCTGCTGAAAGCATATCTGAAGGGGAAACGGACAGAAATGGATAAAAACATTTTTGATCAAGTTGAAAATCATAAAAAGTTTACAGTTCATCAACGTCATAGAAATTCCTGAATGATCTGAAACTTTTGATGTGAAATGGCAAAAATAAGACAACATTTTCAGGAGAGGAGGTCCTAAAAATGTGGAAGAAAATAGAAACTTCAGTTTCCATCAACCTAGATACTTCATCCAGTCTGTAATCCTGTAAAATTCAGCTTCTAATGTGTTTTTGTCCCATCTGGTCAGAACTAACCCACTCACCCTAACTACCTGTGGCTTTCAAATCCTTTTCAGATGATTTCCCACACATTCCTTAGAAAACCTTAAATTAAAACGTTCCTGTGAACAAAGTGGGCTTTTAAAGATTTAAATAAACTCATTTTCCTGCCCTTTAACTAAGACTTGATAACTTTAAATGTTCTTAATCTTTCTTTAGGGGTTTTCTTTTGTTTTGTGCTTAATCACATGCAATCAGTCTGCTTCATTATTACTCTACCTAAACGTCTAAATCGTTTTAATAAAATGTTGAGTGTTCAAGCTGACAGCTCAGGACCTCAGCATTTAAACAGCATCTCTGCTAAAACATTTGTGTTGTTGCATCAAAGAGGGTCAGACATGTCAGTATCTTAGACCTGCTAGGGTTGCTAACTGGTTTGTAACAGATAATCGCCTTTCTCATTACAAACCTGTTAATGAAGTCCTGATGTGACAGCTCCGATCCTTCCAGAACATCGATGTTACAGAGACCTTCATCTTCTAACCTGAGCTCTGAAGACCGCGACCTGAACGCGCGCGCGCGCACACACACACACACACACACACACGCACGCGCGCGCGCACACACACACACACACACACACACACACACACACACACACGCTCATTTAAAACGCAGTAACTAGGAGTTTGAGTTCACCCAGGGTCGATAAACTCACCATCCTCCGTCTTCAGCTCTCAGGCCACTGATCAGACACAAAACTACAAACTGAACTGCTTTGTTTCCCATAAAAAAGCTTCTGCTGTGAGTTTCACTCAAATCAGAGGAACTTCTGTCCGAGCTTCATTTTTTTTCCATTATCGCCAAGCGTGAACTGTTGCTTTCTGACTTCCGGTAAGAGAGCCAATCAGAAAGCTCCACCTTGATCCGACCGCTGCTACCTTCATGCTATATAGGAAATTTAGCCTCTCAGTTGAGAAGCCATACACTTCTCTCAGTTGCTCAGGCGCTGAAATGTTTGTGTGTGGAAATGAGGCACATCCTTTTTTGTATTGTCTAATAAACTTTATGGATGTCTATGTTATTATAGTAATAAAACATCAAATAAATGCCCTAAAATCTGGCAGAAAATATTTATAGAGACCATACCAATAAAACGATAACAGTAATAACCACAGTCTGACACTGGCAAAGAGACGAATCAGATATCACCAGCAGATGGCAGGCTTGTTCCATTGTAATAATAATTGTAGTTATTTAATTTGAACAAAAGAAAAGTATTCATTTAGTTCCCTCAGCTATAGTTTTCTACAGTTTATCTCATTGTTGCATTTTTGTATATAATTATCTTCTCCTTTCCTCAAAAGGCCCTGTCATTGTAAATGAACGTTAATTGAATAAAGTATACACAATTTATGTTTGTGTGGTCCAAAAAATGTACCAAGTTGGAGATAACATAAAAACGCTCATAACAATAATAAAAAAAAATTAACTGTGGATTAAATGTGTTTTTTATTGATGCTGTTGCAAATATCAAAGTAAATAAATAAAAAAATAATAAAAACACGAGGAACAAGTTTGAACAAGTTTCTCTTTCTAAATAAAACCTCCAAACATTGCTAAGACACCATATTTATCAGTTTGTTTTTTCTTGTTCCTTGTTTGTTACAAAAAATGTCTTTTTGACCATCTATGTGTGTTGTGTTGTTAAGTGGATCAAACCCCAGTTTGATTTAAAGCTGTAATGCAGTGAACAAAAGCGAGGCGGAGGGCAATTACAAACACTATAAAGTTGCCCATTCTTGTGACAAAGGATCGCTGTCACACCTAACATGTGACAGATCTGCTGATCTTACTTATAATTGGAATGAGACACATTCGTGGGGTATTGACATGTATTTATTATTTGTATATTGATTAGCAGGTGATCTCCTAAAGTGAAGAGTAAGATATTTATGACATGTAGAACAAGCTGTGGAACAAACATTTGTATTGTGGGCGTGTGCTTACCTTTCCTGTTTCCTGTCAGCAGGTGTGTGAGCAAAGTGTACACAGTTGAGATGGTACCTATTTTGGTTGCAGTAAAATGGATAGAGCATTCAAAAAACAAACAAGTGGTAGTGTGTTCTGAGTCAGCAGCTGTTCTTTCAAGTTTACAGTCATTTCATTAAAAAACAAGGCGGGGTATGTTGTTTGAAGTTCTGTTGACTTTGAACAGAATAAGGGGTAGCGGTAGTTATGTTCTCTTTCTTTGGGTGCCAGCTCATGTTGGGATCAGTGGGAATGAAAAGGTGGATAAATTGGCTAAAGAAGCTTTGAGTAAAGATAGTGTGGAAATGGAAATTACTAGTAGTACATTTGAAGCAAAACATGTTATCTGGAGGCAGGTTGTCAAGGAGTGGCAGGAAAGGTTGGATTCTATGAGTAAGTGGAGGCATTTGTATAATGTATTTTTTTTTGTTTGCTTGTTTTTTTTTTCGTGTCCTGTCTGGCTGTGAAGCAAACAGAATTGATGTCTGAATGCTGGTAACAAGCCTTACAGATTTACTCTCAGGTGGAGCATTGAAGCGTCTGCTTTTAATGTCACGCCTGATGCGTAAAACTTTATTGTTATTGCTTTTGAATGCTTTGTAATTCCGACCAGACACGGAGACGTGAAAGAGAAAAGAAGAGACGGGGACCGGGGGTGGTCCACACAGATAAACAATCAATGATGAACAAGAGTCTGCTTCTAGACCTGCAGAAAAGGGACACACAACAATACAACAGGAGCAAGCTAGCACTGCGTCAACCTGATGAGGAAATATAAAATCAACATTGTTTAACTGAACAATCACACGATAATAAATCACAGTGCATTTAGTGCCAACCACAGCCTTAAGACAAGTGTTGAACGTGCCCAAGTCCACACTTATGAGAGCACCATGTGAGCACCTGTGTGTGTACACGCGCTTGTTTATATAAGGTTTCTCTATAGGAGCGTCCAATAGAGAGTGTGAGGGGCCACAGATCTGCCCCCAAAGATGCGTAGGAGATGGAGGGAGCTCCAAGTCCCAGAGATCCAGGCACTGCCCCAGAGCGCAGGGACCCCAGGGAGACTGCGACCAGAAAAGACCCCGCCCCCCTCGAGAGGTGCAGAGGATCGCCTCGGGGGGCCACAACCAGCAACCGGTAGAGTCCCGGGGGATATCAGCGGCAAGCCCACAGGCCCGCCTGCACACTCCCACCCCCAAGCCGGCTGAGCCCGGAACCCAGCGACCCGGAACCCAGGGGCGACCTCCCCCACCGGGGACCCAGCAGAGCCCAGGGACCCAGATCCCACCAGGCAGCCATCGGAATTGATCAGGCAGACGCCAAAAATCTTAAACCCCCTGACCCGGGAGCCACGAACACTCAGGCAGACCAAGGCACCGCACTCCACACCAGGTGTGGCAGGGGGAGGGGAGACGAAGATGTATAGCAGCATGTATGATTGTTGAGAGAGGAGCTGATTGGCTGCACCTGGCGGTAAGGCGTTTCCTGTTTCCTGTTTTCAGTGTTGCACTCCGTGAAGCTGCTTGGTGTTTGGGGCTCGCTAAAACCGATTTAATTTCTCTGTAACAGGATATCTCTGAGTTATTGTAGCACATAAGCACACTAAAACACACATTTTCTGTTGTTCCACCAAGCTTTTAGGGAACCATTTGAGTTCGCACGCAGTTTATTTGGTGTTGAACAGTTTGCTGTCCAGTTAGCTTAGCCTCAGCACGGCTATGGCTACTTCTGTCTCTGCTTCTCCGTCTCCTATCTCTTGCTCTCTGTGTCAGATGTTTAGTTACTCCTCTGCCTCCTCTAGTGATAATGGTACCTGTAATAAATGTAGCATTTTTGTAGCTTTGGAGGCGAGGGTGTCGGAATTGGAGTCCCGGCTCCGCGCTGTTGAAAAACCCGTAAACAGCCGTAGCTACTTAGCTAGCGCGGGGCTAACTAGCTCAGAACAACCCCGTAGCGACCCTCCAGTAGAACCCGAGCAGCCGGGACCTCAGGCCGGCTGGGTGACGGTACGCAGGAAGCATAGAACCCAGACCGTGGGCCACCACCAACCCGTCCACGTTTCTAATAGATTTTCCCCGCTCAGTGACGCACCCACTGACAAGCCGACTCTGATCATTGGCAGCTCCATAGTCAGAAACGTGGCATTAGAGACTCCAGCAACCATAGTTAAATGTTTACCTGGGGCCAGAGCGGGCGACATAAAATCTTATCTGAAACTGCTGGCTAAGGATAAGCGTAAATACAGTAAGATTGTTATTCACGCTGGCAGTAATGACACCCGGTTACGCCAAACCTGGGCATTTTACGGCCCGCGGGCCACATACGGCCCTTTGGTTGACTTTGACCGGCCCGCGTAAGGTTAATTGGAAATTACAAAATAAATATATTTTCTCCTTTTACCTCATGCATGGACTAAGGCTGCATTGCTTTTATTTTGAAGTTGTTTTTTACGTACACAATGACGCACTACATATAGCAACAAGTGCCCGCGGTTGACATGGTGATTGTAGCCCTCAGAAATGTCTGCTCATGCAAAAAAAAAAAAAAAAAAAAAAAAAAAAGATGCTGAATGCAGGATTTTCAACAAAAATTGGACTGCTAAGTATTTTTTTTACTGAAGTCGGAGGTAAAGCCGTGTGTGTTTGGTGTGCAGGGAGGAGATTGCCGTGTTTAAGGACTACAATTTGAGTCGGCATTACGACAAGAAACACTCGGAAAAATACAAGAACTTGTCTGATGCTGAGAGGGAACGGACATCCGAAGCTTTGCTAGCAAAGTTGCAAAAGCAGCAAGGCTTTTTTACTAAGCTTCACACATCCAGGGATGCAGCAACCAGGACCAGCTTTGTGATATCCCACAAAACAGCTAAAAACAGCAAGCCGTTTTCGGAGGGAGAGTTTGTCAAAGAGTGCATGGTGGACTCTGCAGCACTAATATGCCCTGAAAAAAAGGTGTATTTGAGCAAATCCCGCTGTCCAGGCGAACCGTGACCAGGAGGATCGAGGACATTGCGGGCAACCTGGAGCTTCAGCTGCAACGTGAAGTGGCAAGTTTTGACTTTTTCTCATTGGCCTTAGACGAGAGCTGTGATGTCCGCGACACGGCCCAGCTGCTCGTATTTGTCCGGGGCATAACGGAGCTCACAGAGGAGCTGGCAGCAATGCGGTCGATGAAAGGGACAACGACAGGGAGTGATCTTTTTACAGAGGTAAATGCGTGCATGGGCACTCTGGGATTGAAATGGGAGAGACTGTCAGGTGTCACAACAGACGGTTGTCCAAATCTTACAGGGAAAAATGTCGGACTTTTGAAACGCATGCAAGATAAAGTGACAGAAATCGATGCAGATCAAAAATGGGTGTTTTTGCATTGAATTATACACCAACATGTGTTGTGCAAGTCAGTGCTAAAAATCAACCATGTTACTGATGTTGTTACTAAAATAATAAACTTCATCAGGGCGCGGGCAATGAATCACAGACAGTTTGTCGCTCTTTTGGAGGACTCCACACAGCTGTCAGATGGCTCAGCCTGGGGAAAGTGCTGAAGAGGGTTTGGGACTTGAAAGCAGAGATACGAGAGTTTTGCGAGAGGAAAGGCAAAGACATTCCAGAGCTCTCAGATGAGGATTGGATGGCAGATTTAGCATTTGCTGTTGATGTGACTGCACTGATGAATGAACTGAACACCAAACTGCAAGGCAAGGGCCTTTTTGTTCATGAAATGCACAGCCTCGTGAAGGCCTTCATGAGAAAGCTGCAGTTTCTTTCAAGTCAACTGGAGAGGAACACTCTCACTCACATGCAAACCCTGAACGAAGTCACACCATCAGCTGATCACCTCAGCAGGTACTCATCCA